GGAATACCTAGCCCACTCTAGTAAGAGAATACATCATATCAATCTCATAAACATATAACACAAGGGTATTTTGGGAAATCACTGTTCGGGCGCTGACTGATCGTACACACGTCTCTGCTCTGTGTTTCTCTAAAAAAAATCTTTTACTCTTTTTAGAAAACTTGATTCTCTTTTGAAAATATTTTCCAAATCCTTAGTTTGAGTTCAAATACTCCCGAAGGTGTACCCGAATCACTCAAACCAAGGCTCTGATACCAACTTGTAACAACGTAAATTTCCAAAACAATTTTTCGCATTTTATAAAAACATAATTCATTTGTAAATCATAAAAAAGATCATTGTTTGAAACTTAATTTGTAACATATATCAATCCCAAGATCTCATAGCATAAAACTCCCGTGTGTGTACTGATCAAGCCGGCGCCTTCCTGCGATCCTCACTAGTACCTGAAACACATAACACAAAACACTATAAGCACAAAGCTTAGTGAGTTTCCCAAAATACCACATATAACACATATTAGCCACTCGAGGCTATTACTCTGTGGGTCCGTGCACCCAAACTCTATGAACCCTCAGGTTCTAACTCTGCAAGCATGCACATCATAAATCACATAGAAGAATACAGTGCAACAAACAATATATATAAAACACTGTATCACATAACTCTATTTACCTACTCAAGGTAAAGTATAGTGAGAAGACTCACCTTGCGTATCTCGGTAACTCGTAAATCCCTGAAATCACTAGTGCTTGATCTCCCGAGCTATGGTCCTCCTATACACAAATATATCTCTAATTAAAACTTTCCCAACTAGGGTTGACTAACTCTATCAAGTCAATACCGGTCAACTCTAGTCAATGGTCAACGGTCAACCCAACTCGCCGAGTCTGGTGTGGACTCACCGAGTCCCTATGAGGACCCGATTCCTCTGAATCCCTTCCGACTCACCGAGTCACTCACCCAACTCGGTTACCCAACCCTTGGTTCGAAAACATGGAACAACTCGCTCCAACTCGCCGAGTCTGCCAATGGACTCGGCGAGTGCATTCCATGCATAACCCCAAACGACCTTCTGAGGTCAGATCTGTTCCAGTAGCTCATAGATCCAGTCTTTCTAAGCTTATTTATCACGTAAAGTTTATGTCTTGGCGCTCATATCACACCTATTGACTCATAAATGGTGTTTTAACCTCACACACAATGATCCCAAACCAAAACCTCCATAGACTCATATAAAGCTTGAACAAAGAGGCACTCTGGACCTCCATGGGTCTAAATCCAGAATTTAACTCGCTTAAGGGACCATGAGAGCAGTAGATTTAACACCCCGTTCTTTTAGTGTTTAATTATGAGTCCCTGAGATTTAAGAGGAAGGGTAATTCTGGTCCTTTTACGAGAAATGAGTTTCATCCGAGAAGGTTTCAGGCTGGTGTATGTCTTAGAAGCATTGGGCTTCTCATCACTCTCGTATGAATGATAAGTTATTTGGGAACGGGTTTAGATTAGAGGAGTTGCGGTGTTTTGAAGTTAATCATTGTTTTAGCTCTTTGTGGAATAAGAGGGAAATGGTCCCATGCATGCATGGCATGCATGCAAGCAATTACTTTGAAGTCTGGCTGGGTACGCCCAGTGTAAAGAGGCGAAAAGTTGCAGGTGGTCGGGTGAGTACGCCCAGCGTACCAGGGAGGTACGCCCAGCGTACTCTCAGAAACCCCAAACCTTAATTTAGGGTCAGCCACTATATAAGGAACATGTTGGTTCACCCCTTAGCCTCCTTATGCTCATCCTCAACCTCAGAGAAACCCTAGATCTCGTATTCTCTCCATTATTGGGTGTGTTTGACCTTGGAAAGCTCTTGTTGGCAAAATAAAGGCTTGAAAGAGAAAAGAGAAGTTGTCAAAGAAGAAGAAGAACGATTGGAACTTGTAGATCTGAAGAGATACCATCCTTTGGAGCTTGTTTGAGGTATAAAGCTTCTTGCATGACCTTCATATTGTGTAGATCTTATGTATTTTGAAGCTTTGTCACCATTCTTTTCCCAAAAGTCCTCACCTTGTTGCATGTATCGACTTAGTCAAGATTATCTGTCCTTTCAGGCCTTTGGAGAGGTCTTGAGTGAGAAAAATGAGGTCCCAAGGGCTGTAGTTGTTCCATGTGTGAGATATATAGGTCTTAATGGATTAAGACCTTGGATTAATAGCTTATGGATGTCCCAAGTGATAAAGTTTGAGACTTTATGGATTCTAATCATATTTGGCCTAGGGATCCGAAGTTTAGGCTTAAGAGCTTAAGCCATTAAGAGGTTAGAAGGACTTAATGAGTATCGCAATTACGCCCCACGTAGCGGGCCAAAGCCCTGATCCTCAGTTTCATTTCAGTGAGTATGCCCTGCGTACTAAGGTGGGTACGCCCAGCGTTCTCCCCCTGTGTGGACTTTAATTTTGGGCCTTTTGAGTTTGGGCTGTTTGTGGGTTGTTGGTGTTTGGGCCAAGTCTGGAAATTATGGATAAGTATTTTGGGCCCAATTATTGTTATGGACATTGGTTCTAGGCCTATTTGGTGAGGTGGGCCCAATTTGGTAAATTGGGCCAATATTGGACTTTGTATGAGATTTGGACTTTGGTGTTGGCCCGATAAGAGGAAGTATGATTGACCTAATGTTTATTTTGTTATGATGGTTAGTTCGGGATTTGCGGTGAGTTGGTGATTCGAGAGTCTGCTTCTTTAGTTCAGAGTATCGGCATTCGCGAGGTGAGTTATCCTCACTATATCAACATGGTCTAAGGCACCAAGGCCGGCCCTTTATCGGATTGAGATTCGGATATTTGTTGTTGCTTTGATATGTCTGCATCCTGGTAGTTAGGATGGTATATGCTAGAGACCTGATTAAGGTCGGTTTCACGATATGTAGAGTGATGTTATTCTAGTGACCGGTTAGGTCGGTATCCTGGTTAGGGTAATGAAATGTTATGAGATCTGCTCGATCGTCTTGTTGATTATGAACTGTTATATGATTGTATGTTATGTGCACATCGTTGTTTGGACTGGAGTTGGGTTGAGGCGGGTCCTGCTTTGTGCTATAGGCCAAGATACCCAGGGCGGATCGGTTGTTCCGAAGGCCCAACGAGCGGTCCGGATAGGTTGTAGGCCCCACGAGGGCGGACCAGACGTACCGAGGCTCGGAGAGTGGACCAGGCCGACTGAAGGCCCGATGCGGGCGGACCAGTCATACTGTAGACTCAGAGAGTGGACCAGGTGGGTTGAAGGCCCGGTGCGGGCGGACCAACCACACTACAGACTCGAAGGACATGAATAGACACGGAGGGTGGACTGAAGGCCGATACGGTGAACCAGTCACACAGTAGACCCGATATGCATGGTTGTTCTATGTTCTGTTATGTTATGTATGCTATTGATGTTATGGGCCGGAAGGCACTATGTTATGGGCCGGAAGGCAATATGTTTTGGGCCGGAAGGTCGTAGCCTGGAAGGGTGTATATGTGGTTGGTATTTTGGGGGTATCTCACTAAGCTTTCGAGCTTACAGTTGTGGTTTAAATGTTTTTCAGGTTCTTCAGGAAACCGTGGCAAGGTGAAGGCGTGATCGTACCGCTCCTCGTGTTTATGTTTATGACATGGTTTTGGGAATACTCTGATAATAAATGTATTGAAAATCTTTTTGTAATAACATTATCGAAATGGATTGTTTTTGAAAAGTTTAAATTTTGTTGAAATTTTTGGACGTTACACTAGATCTAGTCACAAAAGGGCTCAATAATCCTTAAATCAACATGAACATCACCTCAACAGAAAATGGTTCGAAAATAGTACCTCAAACGTGATGTTCTGGACCTCAGATCTTCAGGAAGTTAACCCTCTTGCTTCCTCTTGGCTATAACTTCCTTTCCCTTTCTAGACAACACCTCCAAGATCGACAATGGCTCCTCCTCTTACTCCAAACACTCAAGTTCACTAGGGTTCCGCTCTGGGGGCTGGTGAGCACAAATGACGACCATAAGGCCCTTTAAATAGGCCCCAAACCCGAGAAATTTGGGTTTCATTAAACAGCACGGACTCGCCGAGTCCACCAATGCGACTCGCCAAGTCCGGTTATTAAGCCGTGTGAGAAATCGCGTCTCTACTCGGCGAGTCTATGCACCAACTCGCCGAGTTCTTCCTCAAAACTCAAAATAAAAAGAATAAATATAATACCTGAAATTTCGGATGTTACAAAACAATGCTAAAAGATAGCAGAAACAAGTTTGACTTTGATTGAATTGGTTGACTTTGCAAGATAGAAATTTCGGGTTGTCACAGCTAAGGTCACTACTAGAAAAACAGCCTTTTACGATGCTCATTACGCGTCGTAAAAGGCTCAGACGACGCGCAAATGCGTGTCAAGAAAGGCCCTGTCATAAAGAGAGACGACGCTCATTTACGACGCGCAATTACGACGCGCGTTTACGACGCGCAATTACGACGCGCGTTTACGACACACAATGCGTATCAAGGAAGGCCCTGTCATAAAGGAAGACGACACACATTCGCGTGTTGTAACCTTACGACGCGCGTGTTAATGACACGCAATGCGTATCAAGAAAGCCCCTGTCAAGAAAGGCCATGTCATAAATGAAGATGACACACATTTTTGCGTATCATAATTTTAAATGTTTTAAAAAAATATTATTTATAGATTTACATTTTCAAATTAAATAATACATTAAAAATCTCATAATACAAAATAAAATACCATAAATGACAAAGATAATTCATCTCACTAATATGTCAAATACAAATAATTATTCCAATAGTGAGTAAATGTTATAAAAAAAATGAACTCATTTATATACAATTGCATCATCTAGCTTACTATGTGCCAACAACTCTCTGTGTGTTTACTTTTGCTTGAGTCTTGTTTCCTCCAAAGCTTCTAGCCATGCCAAAATATGATATCTCTAGTCTCGTGTCAAGAACCAACATCACCTTCAATCACCCAACCTAGTCCTTAGGACTGAGATCTTCCCATTTCTTATCCACCTTCCAAGGAGGTCGGTTGGAATGATGATACATTGCAATCCTTTCAAGTTGCAATGACTGAAAAAAAAACATGTGAGATATTAAAAAGACATAAACTTTAAATTTTTGGTAAGTGATGATAAAGCAGATGCCATCTATCATAATAAGGACATAAATAATTGAACTTTGTTAAGAATTCCTTTCCTTTTCTTAAGACCTAAAAAGGTGTCAATGACTAAATATTTAAATGGAAATTAAAGCAGGATACAAAAGATGGCAAATGGGACTGACCTTTCGCAATTTATCTAGTGCACTACTGGTGTCAAATGTTTTCATCCACTGTAAAAGCAAAAAGCTTTGCCACAGTAAGACCAACAGCAAAAGGATGTCCTGGATTGCTAAAAAAACATTTTTCAAATAAGACTTAAGCACATACATTTCCAAACTTTGATTTTGATATTGCATCAAGTGTTGCTGTCTCGGATTCCTGAAAGACAGTTGAATATTCAACAAGCAGCCCAGACTTAATCAAGTTAACCAACAGTTAAATCAAACTGAATGTAACTAGAGACATCTTAAATTTTAAGGATACTATGGAAGAAAAAGCAATATATTACCTGAATCTGTTGCATGTTCTTGATTTTGTGAAGATGAGTTAAAGGAAAGAACTAGATAACCGAATGACAACCTGCATAAAACATAATAATCAAAATCCGAATTTAACATTAAAAATAGATGATAAACCTAAATGAATTACAAAAAGGGCTAAATTCACATCTTACCTCTAGTGAAATAAATCTCAAGTTATCAAATCTTGGCATATGTCATTAGATGCCTCGTGTTTCCTCTATTTCCACTCTTCCTTCAGATAACTGCATTGTCATATCCATAGATAAATTTTAACTGTTTGAGTTTACACCCCAATTTCAAATTATGAAGTGAAAAAAAAATTAAAAAATAGCAGAAAAGTAAAAGCACAAAGCTATAATAGGGAGAAAGAGGTAAGAAACTATAACAAACAAATAAATACGGGTGTTGCTATTTTTTTAGAGTTAACCCTATATAAACTACAAAATGTTGGTTCTTATAATTATAGCATATCCTACTATTTGCTAGATTGAAACCTGGAATCAAGGACCTTGAACAACATAAATAAATATTCTTATTATATAAAGATAAATAATGGGGGATAGCCTTGATTAGATGCTGAAAAACACTAGTTTTGTTCTCTCAAGAAGTTGTAGAATCTTAAAGCAAAAAAAGAATCAAACAGGTAGCTATGATTTATCCACCTTTCATATTACCAAAACATTACTTGGTTGCTCTCCGTCTCCTTTTCAACCTTCCATGCCCAATATATTATGCTATAAAAACACCACAAATTCATGTGAGATTCTATTCAGTTTCATGCTTGGTTGAAAATGAACACAATTCCCTTCATATTCTTGAAAGCTACTCAACAATTCCATTCTTTTTTTATTAAAAGACCAAATTACCCCATTATTGGAAGAAAAAAAACAAAGTAGAATACCAAAATACCCCATAATTGCAATAAACAAAAATGTGAAAACAGAAAGATGATACCATATCCTTAATTATGTGGAAATGCAAAAAGGGCATAAATAGAACTAGGTTATAACCTGTTGCCTTTTAGAACCATAATATGAAGAATCAAGGTAACTTTTAACACTATATGGTGGCAACCATGCTGAATCATGTGGGCCCATACTTCTGAAATGTTGTCCTTCCTTTGCATCACAGAAATCAGGACCCTGGTCCTGTTATATCATATATGGAGGCCACAGTCAAAACAAGATAAAATATGCAATACATGTTGAGCATACCTACACCCACAAAATCTCCTTTCCTGTTTTCCTTTTTTTTGAATATTGTTTAAAGGGTAGGGGTTGTTACTTATATGTTGAAATGTAACAATCCCCATTAACTCCTGTATGGGTGAAGTGATTTGAAACCAACAAACTATGTAGAAGTAACATGTCGAGCAACACTTAGCATGGTATACGTTCTGGTGACAAGAAAGGAGAAGATGAAAACAGTTGTGTACTAATTAAAGTGATTATTATTCACCTAAGAAGGGTTTGTATTTAATAAACAAATTATTTATATATAAATTTAACTTACATGGAAAAAGGTTTGGCCACCAAACCAAGATGGCATAAAATAGATGTTAATATAGATAAATCAAACACATGTACTTCAGAATATAACTATACAACTACAAGATTAACTGGGACTTATATAGTTCAAAAAATGGGGATTGCTTCAATTGACAACAAAAGGATAAAGGTGAACTATTCTTAGAAATTGGATGTTGCTTTATCACGTTATCACATTTGCATAGAAAATATCATTTGAGAAGAATAAAAACCCCAGCAGTTTTAAATGTTAACTTGAAGAAATTTGTAAATATAAGCTAGGCAGTTGAGTGACCTTCTTGCTAAGCAGGGTGCGTGCTGACACATTACACAGTTTATTTGAATAACTTAATATATATAAAAAGGTAATTACTTTTAAATTATACTTTTTAAAATGACGAATTTTCCTGTTCCATCAGTACAATTAGACAAAAGGGTTCGAGTAATTACTTCCAAGTTGAGAGTTGAGACAAGCAAAATGATGAGCACAACTCAATTGGGAGGTAAAGTTGACTAGCAATTTGCAATTTCATCCATAATTTCACATCCCAGTCAACTCAGAAGAAGGTTGTAAATTGATTTCACTTTTTAAGTTTCTATAAGATTAGAAAAATAACCATAGGGACCTAGTTTGTGTTCAAGTTTAACAGATCATGCTCATCACTCATACATATAGAGAAAAAAAAGGAATTAGGGTTTCCTGGAATGTCCATTGAGTCTATTCCGTTGAACTAGACAAAACAAAAAGTTTTATTTTGATTCCAGCATATATAGAGGTACTTACCCGGTCCTAATCCTTGATCACTTGGTTATATGAAAACCATGTAACAGGAAAATGGTGTTTTTTTATGTGGTCAAAAAGTATAATGGTTTAATAAGTATGAACAGAGTGAAGTGTTAAATCAATAAAATGTTGAAAGTACAAGTGTTTTTTCTGTATTACTCCTAAAGAGAAAATACAATCTAAACACAAATAATATGTAATTTTCTAACTAAAAACATACAAAATGATGTGGTACCTGAAAGAATAACTGATCTACAAGGTGTAAACGAAAAACAATATAGTCTTTCATCTGTGAAAAAACGTGTAAATGAATTAGAGAAGGAGCTTAAAACCAATTAGAATCAAGGGCAAAATTCTCAAGCTCAGACTGCAAAGAAAATTATGTTCACAAAGAAGTGATACCAATAAAAAAGGAACTCTTTTATATAATCTAAAATCTACCTTAATTTGGTACATTCCAAGGATATTTGCAAGAGGAATAGGTACACTACCGATTCCCTAAGCTTGATCTGGACCTTGAGAGAGACGTCCTGTAGTAGCTATACGAAGGAATAGGTGAAAAATTAACCTTCACAATGGATAAATTAATCCCCTGAACCATATCTAAGCTAATCGGAGGAAGAAAAAACCCTTTATCCTCTGCAAGACATGATGAAAAAATGAAACCATGCAACAGAACTTGCAAGACTCCCGCATGTGAGATGAGGGAACTACAAACAAAACCATGCACTAAGAGCTCCAGCATAAGAAACGCCAAACAAAAACCATGGATTTAAAAAAAAACCTGATAATTCAAAAAAAAAGAATGTTACTGGCTAGAAAAGGAAGCTTTCTCCAATCTGTATTTAAACAAAGTGGCATTAGAAATATTGACACATGGAGATTAATTATAAATTCATAAATTCAAAAAAAGAATGTTACCGGCTAGAAAAGGAAGCTTTCTCCAATCTGTGACATCATTAGATGACTCCTCAACAGACTGCTCTTTCTGTATTAGATCCAATTCAATTTCAGCCTCTTCAATTTCCTGCCACACATCAATCAATACCTCTTATTATTATTATCTTTTTATTTTCTAAAACAAAATATTGTAATGTTAGAACTTACCATAAGTTTTTCATCGGTGTTTTTCGAAAAGAAATCAAAGTACGATTGTGTTCCATGTTCTCTCCAACTTCCAGAATGGCAGCCATAACCAAGGAATTGCTAACATTTCTATTTCATAGGGAAAAATACATGAAATGTGGGATGGGATGCTAGGTTGATTCATACCCCTGATACAGTTAATTCTATCCTTCATTGTCCCACCGTGCACCTATAAAGAAGCATAAATAATAGTTTAGTAGTAAATTTGTACACATTTATAAAAGTTTAGTGTTGAGAATTGTTAAGAATCGTTATTATTTAGGAAAAGAAAAGAAACAGGATAAGTTTTTTTTTAAAATACTATTATTATTTATCCATTCCAGAGAACACTTAATCTGTATGCTGTCATACTTAAGAAAGTGAATGACCATTTTACCCTTGTATTTGCAAAACTACTAAATCTAATAGAAACATGGGTAGAACAGGAAAATGCAACATCTTAATTCATAGAGTGAGTGACACCCATTACGACATTCCTAAAGAAAACAATAGTGCTACTATTAGCTAGATGATGCTAAATGTATTCAAGTAAAAAAGAAACGGGCATTTATAAAAGAATAGTGCTACTATTATCTACATTATCAAAATTCAATTGTAAACTCAAAATTAAAAAAATGTTCAAATCAGATAGAGCATGATTTACATGAATATACACGAAGAAGAAAGATAGAGAATGCGAAAACCATACCATGAGCTCCTGACCACCAATACTTAATTTACTCAGAAGCCTTAAAGCACACAGAACTCCTTCAACATTCCTAAATTCACAAAAACCAAAGCCCTTCAAAGCCCCAGTAGTGGGATCTGGTACATGTTTCCAACTTTTAACAGGCCCACAGAGCTTCAGAAGACATAAATGTGTAATAAGTCCATGAACATTAGGCAATAAGATCTATTTCCAGTAAAGATGTGAGAAAAAGAGGAACTTACCTACAAAAAGGGAGAGCATGAACTCATTGTCCACTGATGATGCTATCTTGCCAACATAAACTGTGGTTATTGGCTTTTCAACTGGAGTTATTGTATTGATGGGTCGCCTAATGATTGTAGGGACCACTGGACCCCGCATAGCCATCATTGGTGGGCGTGCTAATGATGGAATGACTCCCACTGCTCCAAGTGGCCTTTGAGGATATGCTGGTTGCAACATTTGTGGATATGGAGAGGAATAATGGAGAATCCCTGCAAAAATAAGACAAAAATACTATTACAAAAAAGAGAGATCAAATAGTGAAAGTATCACAACAAAATTCAAACATATCGCACATATTTTCATCATTGACATATATAACTATATACCAAAAACTCAGATCTGATGTGAAGTTAAATAAAAAATGGAATTTTAACTGAATTGAAAATTAAAACCTGAAGTTCTGTAATAAAGCTAATGCTCTGTTCCATGGAAGACTCGTGGAAGGTCAATGAATGATTTGATTGTTCCACTTCCATAACTCTCTGTCTCTAGCTGAATCACGAGTTTAAAACAACAAATTTTGGGGAAATTCAAGAATTGATCATTTGATATCAACAAAAGAACCCTAGCTTTAGTTTACTCTCTACTTTACTAGATACATGTAGAGAAAGATTGGGTGTGCAATGGATTCCAAGATTTAACTAACTTACTGATTATAATAATCTATATTTTGGTTCAAACATTTAGTCAAACACCTGGTGTGCATAAAAAAATTAGGTACTTATATCATAAAATATCAATAATTCCATGAAAAGATTTGAGAAAGGGTAGAAGGGCACAAATCGTCCAAAAAGAAGGACCAGCTGTACATGAAATAGGTAACTGTGGTTAAAAAAAGAAGAATTACCTTTGTAATATGCCTACTACGCAAATGAAATACACTCCTTCAATTTTGAAGTCTCCAGAATCGACATGAGGTCAAGATGACCTGAAGCAACCTGGAAACTATCATACTACATGATGGAGGCGTGCAGAAGTAAGCAGGATGGCAACATCAGGAGAAACAGCACTGCCAACAAGGAGAACCCATAGAAGGGAAGAGACGAGAAAAAGGCACCGTATCGTTCTTCTGCTTGTTTCTGTTGTATAAGTAAAATCAAGATTGATAGAAGATTATAAAAAATTGGGATGAGAGAAGAAAGAAAACACACCTTAATCCGTACGAGGTGGGTTGAATCCGAAATCCTCAGACTTTGTAGAGAGAACTCATGTAGTAATGCCCTAAATCACCGGTTCTCTAAGAGTAAGAAAATTAGTGTGATTCTGATGGGAACCTTAGATTTCTGTCGATTCTTTCAAGTTTCAATCAAGAAATGAGAAAGAGTTAGGGAAATCAAGAATGGAATGCTCACGATCATTGGGAAGATGAAAGATAGAAAGAAGGTAGAAAAGAAGAAGGTGGGTCTTCAAAATTTTGGAGATTTCATTTCTTCGTATAGCTACTACAGGACGTCTCTTGATTATAGGAGAAGCGCGTTTCATTAAAATTATAAAGCGACAGTCACAGAGGATGCGCGATTAAAATAAAGTGCCCTCTGTGTTTTTTTAATTTTTTCTTGGGACACTAATTTAAGGGCACGCAATAGTGTGTGACTTAAATCCTTAAAATTTTTGAAGAGATGACACTCTTTTAAGGTCACTCTTATTTGCGTAACATAAATCATTGCGTGTCGTGGTTTGTGCGTCGTAAAAGGGTCTTTTTCTTGTAGTGGGTTTTCCCGAAATTTGGATATGCATGAACTTAGCGAGTTGCGGGGAAACTTGACGAGTTGGCCAAGGTGTTTACGACCGCAAACATTAATAACTCGATGAGTCACACAAGTGACTCGACGAGTTAACGAGTTATGCAAGGAACTCGATGAGTGGCTGGTTGTACTTGACGAGTTGAGGTCAACATGGACTGTTGTCCCTCAACATTGACTTGGAATGTGACCAAGGGTTGACTATTTGACTTCTGGGAGCATTTCGGGAAATTGGAAATTTATGGATATGGTTCTATGGTGGATATAGCTGGTGGAGTTTGTGAAGGTGATCCGAGAGTTGAGCTTATCACTTCAGCGCGTCAGTTGCGATGTGAGTTACCCTCACTATACTAAGGGGTCTAAGGCACCAAGGCCGACCCATTGGATATGATATCCTAGTAGTTGGTATTATGTTGAATATGAGGTAGTGTTGCATGTTAGTTGATATGGGCGTTAGGTAGATCTGTAGGACTACCTATATTATCATGTGATTATCTGTATGTGCATTAGTTGTGTTACATGTCGACATATTATGTGGGATGGGTTAAGGTGAAACTGCTCCGTGCGGTAACCAACAAACCCGGGAGCATTCCAGATATGAGCTGAGGGAGACTCGTATTATGGGCTTGATGGCAATCAGATGTGAGCTATGGCCTTGGAAGGCAATCCAGACTTACACTGTGGGACCAGGGGTAATCCAATGTGTAAAGTTGTGGACCCAGTACATGCTGTTAGTTGTATATGTGTTATGTGAAGTGTATTGGTATGTTGGCATTCCAACCCAATGATTGAGGGCCTGGGGTATTCCATCACGGTGGATGTTTGGACCCATAGTATGATGTTTGTTATTGGTTGTGTATTGTTGTGTGTACATGTATTTTTGGGGTGACTCACTAATCTTTCGAGCTTACAGTTTCAGTTTATTGTTTCATGTTTGGCGGATGACCACGGAAGGCGAACGCGTGACCGTACACTTCTTCAATTGATGATTTTGATTTTAGGAACTCTGATGTTTAAGCTATTTTGAAAGCAAATTGTAATAACTAAATGGTTTTAAATGATTTAAAAAGTTTTAAATTGGTTCGAATTTTATAGATGTTACAAGTTGGTATCAGGGCCTTGGTTTGAGTGAATTGGAGTAACACTTATGTGAATCTAGTCTCAAATCAAGGAAAGATGTTCAAAATGATTTCTAAATGGTTTTCACAATATGTAAAAGAGGATGCGAAGTCTACAATCAGCCGGAGCCAATAAGTAGACCCCAAAATACCATACGGTTATTTGATATTGTGATATGTTAGAACAACATGCTAGTACTAGGCTATGGATATTCAAGAATTGAATGATAGAATTGCCTGATTACATGATTCCCGCTAGCCTAAGGTGTCCTTTATATGAGATTGACATCATTAATGTAGTTGTTTAGTGTATGCATCACGGTTATACATAATTAAGATCTTATAGCCTGAGAATGTTTGGTTTGGCCTTATGTTATGTCCTTATCTAATTGAGGGCTTAGGGTAGGATTAGATATTTGAAAGTCTATAGCATCCAACGTTATGTATGGCTAGCATACACTAGTGTTATAGGGTTGGTGAAAATTTCATAGATGGGTAGGTTGTGTGGGACTCGTAGGTCAGTTGTGAGATAGTTAGCCTTCCTCTAGGAGTGAGGATTTAATGCTCACCATGTATACATATATTGTTAGGGTGTTGTGGTGATACTTGAGACAAATATAGGTAGGTGTGCAAGGTAGGATGGTCCCATACTACTAAAAACACAGGACCCATACGCATAGCAAGGAAGTCACAACCCCCGGGGTTTAGTTGGAAGTTGGTTCTCTGTTATGGTATGGATTATTGTTTTGAGACCGGATTTGAATCAGGATCGAGAGCTGGTAGCCAGGATAGGCCAATTTTGTCAGAGGATTGTGTCAGGGAGATCATCCAGGAGGAGGTAATAAAGATCGTTTGGGGACAGATTCTGGAGATGATTGGGTCTTTCAAGACCGCCATGGTTGAGTATTTTGTCGAGCACCGTGCAACAATTGCTAAGACGGCTGCCGCAGCAGCTTCAGCAACTGTAACGACGGTAGGGGGATGAGCCATTCGATTTTTCCAGTACTAGGACTTGTTGTTGTTACATATTTTGATGAACAGAGGGCTATAGTTATTTGGGATCAGGGAGACGATCTGTACTCATTATATTTCCGCAGGTTGAGCGGGAAAGGCTAGCACAAGAGTATCTAGATTTAAGGCTCAGGGGTTTGCTCGAGGCCGGATTATGAGTCGTAGGGACTTCAGATTGGAGTGATGATTATGTTCAGTTGCGGTTTTGCAGCTGAAGTGGAATGGTCAATCGATGGATTGGATTGTCATTTTATAGGTCAAGGGTTGTGCCCTCTTAGTTTTTAGAGCTCGAAGGAGTGAGCAGACTTATGACTCTAGGATTAGGTTGTATTCCAGCTCGAGGTCAGTTGGTTGCAGGGATAGGCAACATTGTTTCAGCACCAGTGAATGCAGGTGGGTCGATGTGACATAAGTATTTTGTGAGGTCTGGTTTTCCTCGGATCTCTTGTATCGGACGATAAGGATTGATTATGTGATCTATTACACTGTTGGGATTGTAGACTATGTCTTGGGAGTAGCTTGTAGCCCGGTTTTAGGTAGAGGTTGCTTCAACTACTGCAGTTCAGTTGTGGACGTTTGAGCGGGTGAGTGGGTTAGGGTGCGAACCCTGAATGGAATGGTTTCTAGAGCCCGAGAGCGGGAGACTTGTTTGGAACTCCTTTGGAAAAAGGGGTATTATGTGGGAGGTCTGCGGATAGGGTCCCGTAGAAGGGTTATTCAGCATTATCAAGATTCAGTGGTTTTAGCAATCGTTCTTGATTGACGGACGAAAGCAGCAAGGGAAGTAGCTCGTCGCCAAGGTATTAATTGGAACATCTATCTTTTGGTCTTCAGTATTTGAGTGTGGGGTCATTCAAGCATTAGTGACTATTGGTTTCACTGGGTTTTACGAAGGATTCGTCTGGTTCTTAGAAGTGTGTGATCAATTGGGTTAGCTAGTAATGGAGCACTAGTGGGAAAGAGTTGGTTATCATCGGATCGATCGTTAGGAAGTGAGAATGATTGGGAATCCTCCAATTTTCATGTATTATGAAGGATTAGTCAAATTTAAGTGGGCGAGAGTTACCCCGGGATGCGGAAGCGGGTGAGATTTTGAAGTGGAGATAAGTTTCACCACCCGACAGGGAGAATTGAGGCCCCAATGGCTGTTTGGTTTGAAGGTTGTATTGGTTGGTGGTTTGGTAAAACTCCCCAGCATAAGAAACATGTCTTCTTGGTGCTTGATACCTGAAGTTGGGGAACCAGGTTGAAGTTCTAGTTAGGAATTGAGTTCGGTTCGAGTATTCGGTCGAGGGTGTGCTCGACT